CTATTTATTCAATAAACAACTTATAGAGCACCTACTAAGTGCCTGACGCTCTTCTAGGTGCTGGAGACATAGCAGTGACCAAAGCAAACACCCAGGTGTCTTGGAACTTTCATGTTAGTGGAGGAGCAGTGTGAGGGGGTGGTCTGGAGTGAGAGAGGGCTACAATTTTATATAGGGTGGCCTCTTGGAAAGGTTGCTAAGATACCATTTTATCAGAAACCTAAAGAAAGTAAAAGAACTAGCCATTTGGGTCAATGGGGACAGCGCTTTCCAGGCAGAGGAATGTTGTTGTTAAGTGCTGTCATGTCTGTCCCAACTCATAGCTACATTTTCTAGGGTTTTTAAAGAGCAGTTGGTGGGTTTGAACTGCTGGCCTTGGGGTTATCAGTCCAATTCTTATCCTACACCACTATACCAGGCAGAGAGAATGTTGTTGTTGTTGTTAAGGGCTGTCCAGTTGATTCCGACCCGTAGCAACCCCGTATAGGGTTTCTGAGGAGTGCCTGGCAAGCATGAACCACCGACCTGGCAGTTTAAACTGCTTTGCAGTCTGGCTCATTAACCCACAGTGCCACACCAGGACTCCAGGCAGACAGAATACCAAGTGCAAATGCCCCCAGATGAGCACAGTTGACATGTTAGAGAGACAGAAAGACAGACAGTGCTTAAATTGTGAGCGAGGGGAGAGAGTGGGTCCAGTCTATGGGCCTTATTCTAAAGTCCTTGGATCCTTATTTGCTTTGTGATCATTTTTTTCCCTTTTTAAATTTTAAAATATTGTTGTTGTTAAGTGTCATTGAATTGATTCTGACTCAAAGCAAGCCTCTATAGGTTTCTGAGGAGCAACTGGTTTGAACCACTGACCTTGCAGTGAATAATTCAGTGTTCATGCTACAGTGCCACATCAGGACTCCTTTAATCCTATTTGTTGTTGTTGTTAAGTGCCATGGAATCAGTTCTGACTTATAGCAACCTTATATAGGGTTTCTGAGAATGGTCGGTGGGCTTGAACTGCTGACCCTAGGGTTAGCAGTCCAGTGCTTATCCTACAGTGCCAAACCAGGTCTCCCTATTAAGTCTTTGTTGTTGTTAAGTGCTGTCCTACAGTAAGTTCTGACTCATAGTGACCCTATATAGGGTTTCTGAGGAGCAGCTGGTGGGTTTGAACTGCTCATCTTGTGGTTCAAAGACATGAATAAAAGCAAGACAAAACAAAAATAGATCATCTGGTTGAGGGAACTCACCGATATAATGCCATGACGAATTTCCAAGATTCTATTTCCATGAGGGGTTCCAGGTGTGCCATTATAGGATAAGCAGTGGTCTGCAAACTGCAAGGTCAGCAGTTCAAGCCCACCTGCTGCTCCATGGAAACCCTATATAGCGTCTCTATGCATCAGAACTGACTTGAAGAGACTTAACAACAAGAACATCTCCACACAGTGACCTCTTATAGGGCATAGAGAACAAAGGAATCTCCACCCATAACCATGAGTGGTAGTAACAATGCACCATATATGCAAACTGGGTGGAAGGAAGCAGGGAATGGACTATTGTAAAACAGGAAAGCTTACAGGATTTCTTCTGAGGCTCTCAGGTATGATGTAACAGCTAGGCAACCATTCAGGGGCATGTCTGAAAAAGTTCCTGTGAGGGAGTTTCTGTTATTCTTATGCTGTCTGGGGGAAGTGACCTAAAACCTACTTTCAGTAATTCTGTCTCTGACTCTGGCAGTTTGGCTGTTAGAGGTACTCAAGAAAAAATTAGCATCTGAACACTTAAAGCTAGTCACAAGATGGAACTGAGCTCTGCCTGACTGGAGTCCTAGCATTAACCCTAACCTCTTACTCCAGTTTTATTGTTTTTAAGTGTCTTCCAGTCATTTCTAACCCACAGGGACCCTGTATAGGGATTCCGAGGAGCGGCTGGTAAGCTTAAACTGCCGGCCTTGTGGTTCAAACCGACTTTGAAGTCCAGCACATTAACCCCAGCACCACACCAGGACTTCAACCCCTTAGTCCTACCCCCACCCCCCATAAAAAGTGAAGGGAAGAACCCATCATTCTGCAAATGGTTCTATAGATGGGAAAGACTGCCAAGGGATTCATGGCATGCGCCACACTCGCGCGCGCACGCACGCACGCACGCACACACACACACACACACACACACACACAGTGACTAAGGACTCCTGCAAAGAGGCAGGGAGAACCCACTGCCACCACCTCCAGGGACATATTGATGAGATCAGTTCAGGATCATTCAGAATAATAAAGATGTATTATCTTTAAGCACATGAATACAATGTGGTCTATCCTGGGTTATTGCATGAGATAGGAATACAAAGTGTGTGAAATCAGTTTAACAAACACTCTATAAATCCTGGTGTGGGGCTATGAGTTAATATGCTGGACTGCAAGGTCAGTTTGAACTGCATGGTTGGTGGTTCAAGCTTACCAGCTGCTCCTCAGAAACCATATACAGGGTTGCTATGGGTTGTAATCAACTCAATGGCATTTAACAACAACAACATTAGGTCAGATTTTCTATGAAAGATCTAGACTGTGGTCTGGCACAAGGAGAAGAGGTTCCCCTAAATGGCAGAGATTACCCAGACTCCTACAGCAGGGACAGTCTAGGTGTGGCCTGAGGAGGTAAGTACCAGTTAGTACCAGTATGGGAAAAGAACAACTGGGGCAAGGAAGTAGACAACCTTTTTGTGAAAAGCACACTGAGTAATTTAGGTAGTATGTTTCTTTCTAGCAAATGTGTATCTGAAGGAAACAGTTCACTGATTTACATTCTGGCACAAACTCCTTAATTCTCCATGAACCAGAATCCTTAAGCAACACTGGGATACGTGTTAGAGCAATCACCTTCCTTCAATTGGTAGTTTGATTTTTAGATACAAGTTTCTATTTCTATTAAGTCTTGAGCACTATGAGAGTCGTCTTACATTTTTATGTACCGCCAACAAGTCTAAAACTTGTACAAGGTGTTCAATAAATGTTTGTGAATACTATGCAAATGTTTGCCAGTTATTAGGCAGTTCTGTAGGTTAAGCACTGGACTGTGAACTGCAAGGTTGGTGGTCTGAGCCCACCAGCCATTCCATGAACTTTCTTTTCTTGGAAAGATTTACAGTCCTCAAAACCCTCTCCAGGGTTGCTGAGTCAGAACCGACTTGACAGCACTTAATAAAAACAACATATGTGCCAATAGGTTAAATTGCTCAAACCCACCAGCCTCTCTGCTGAGGAAAGATGAGGCTATCTGTTCCCATAAAGATTGACAGTCTCAGGACCCCTACATAGGGTTGCTATGAGTTGGAATTGACTTATTTGCAGTGGGTTTGCTTTTGGTTTGATATGTGCCAGTGGGGCAGTGGTGGTTCTGTGGTAGAATTAGACAACTGAGATGACACGGTCACTAATAGACTGCATGGAACCCAGGTTTGTCTGATCCCAGATTCTGTGCTCTTTTCAGGATGTTAAACTGCTCTAAGATTTCATTACAACCAGCATCTTTACACAAGACACTCCTGAGTGAAGGGAAAGAATTACTGCTAGTCAAACAGTCTTTTTCAAAAGAGACCCAGGGAAGATATAAAATCCTGGGTGGCACAAAAGGTTTGTACTCTTAACTACTGACCTAAAGATTGGCAGTTTAGCAAATTATCAAAGTAAGAGAGTGTTCCATTTAAACTCTAGCCCAAAAGTTGGTATCTATTTTCATTTGGCAACACATAAATCCATTTGTTCAGAGACACTACATATAAGGCATCGTTCAAAAAATATTTAGAATCAACACACACAACTCCCCTCATTCAAACAGAGAATGTGAAAGTGACTTAAAAGGTTTTCGTTTAACAAACCACCGTAAGAAAACCAAGTTGCTTTAATCTCATTGTGTCTCTACCTTAGTTCCTATACAGACCACTGAGCTAATTGACAGGTGAGTCAAATCCCACCAGGGATGAATTTGGTAGAGAAGCGATTAGTGTGCAAGCCATCAATTAAGTCATTCCCTCGCTGTCCCCTCCCTGCTGATTCTGCTGTTCTCAAAACCACAAAACTGCTCTGAAAATAACCTCTGAAAAAACTCCACTGTCATTTGTTCGTAAGAATTAACAACCTTTTTCCTTCCTTCCTTTTTTTTCATCTAAGCCTCTGAGAATAGTGCTAGATAAACAATGGTAATGCTTTAAAAACAACTTTACAAACGTGATACAGATTTCTTCTCTGTCCTGTAGGGTTTCGACAAATTGGAATCGACTCAACGGCACACAACAAAGACAGGGACACTTTTTGTGTTCTATTTTCCTACACACAACATACACATGATTCTGTGTCTCAATATAAAATAATGCAAAAGCAAATATTGTAAATTTAAAGTAATTTGAAAGTGCACTCAGTGGAGAATTTGAGAACCACATAGTTAGTTGTCTTTGGTGAATGTGTTGTAAGTGCTGCAATCTGCCATCACTCTCAGATCAAATCCCCTGATCTGGGTCAGTTACAGGTCAACATCCAGAAGGGTCTCTCTCCCCACATCCAGTTAGCATCTGAATCTCTTACATTATACATATAAATTCTGACATGAAAATTTCAGGATTATACAAAGGATTCATCTGTCTGTTTACTCTGTCCCATCAATGAAGAACAGAAAAGGAAGAAAACTCTTTTATCAGAGCAGAAAACGGGACCATGTTCAGTTAATGTTAATCCTTATATGTACTTCCGCATAATCCTGATATATATACTTCAGAAGTACTTGTTTGAAATCTTTCAATGTGTAGGTTCTTTCTCAGAGAGCCCTTACAGCTGTTTCATGCTCACATCTTAGCTTTCCTTTTGATTTCTGTCCACTTGGAAACAAATGGAGCCCCAAATTTCTGCCACTGCTAAGTACAATGCATTAACATGAGAATACTATATATATATATATCCAGAGTGAACACTCTGTGCCTTGCTTTTTGCTTTTGCCTCTCTTTACCAGACTCAGTGGGAATCAAGTTTAAAATGCATCATTTGAAAAGGAGCACCTCTCAAATAATGATCTTCCACAGCCCTATCACTCCCTACTTCTTAATGAGAGTTGCCTTGTCAAGCTGAAGTGATAGGGTGGGAAAGAAAAAGTACACATACCTTTAAGTTGGATGAAAAAGAAGGAAAGAATACTGGAAAGAAAGAGAAACTGTACTGCGTTGTTTCCTTTGTTTTGCTGGGAAACCATAGAACCCTCCAGGGAAAAAACCAAAAGGCCTCTAAGGTGCTCCTACAATTTAACACTTTTCTAATAATGGTTGGAAGGAGGAGGCAGAGAAAACAAGGGGGAGTAGATGTAATTGTTAACTCCTTTTCCACCATGAATCTTCCCTAAAATCATAAGCAATCAGATGATGATAGTTCATCTTCTTACCTATCTCCTAGTCACAATAAGCTATGAATCTAGTGTGTAAAATTTACTCTACTGCTCAATCTCATATCTTAACTTCAATCGTCCAACTAATATTCAACATCAAATCACTCCCTCAAAAATTTATGGAAAAATTCCATTATCTTTTTATTCTATTCTTCCATGAATTTTTTTGAAGCCCATTCATATATTAATCTGTAAATTGCAACCTTCTTAACATTGTCCTCTGCCACCACAATTTGGATGATGTGTTGTGAGTCATTAAAACCACTTCACAGACAGGACAGGTTAATGCCCACTCCATTCATTTGTGAATTGCGGGGTAAAAACAGCCATTTAATTCCCTATTACTTTTGCTGGAAAGAACAAGGAAAGGAAACAAAATCTTTAGCTGTAAGAGCTTACTATCCATTTGGTGATAATGCAAAATCTTAAAGTAGTACAAAAATGAAGTCTACTTGAACTCTATATTCACTAAGTAACTGCTGTATTTTGAGATTACAAAGCAAATTTTTTTTATAATTAATGAGGTGTCAATCTTGTCAACAAAAGGTTGATAAACTGCAAAGCAGGTAAAATCCTACCAGACTTTTCCACTCTGAATCACACCCTATAAAAAATGTATAACTCTTTTGCTAATTTTTAGCTTTGTTCTTACACAATCAGCAGGAGAAGCTATGCTTCACTGAATTTGCTGCACAAAATGCTGAAGTACCACTAAGAAAGAACAAACATCAAGGGCTATGTGTAAGGGCAGTAATAACCTCTTACAGAGAAAAATCTTCTAAAGGGCAAGGATTATATCCAACCAAGAAAAGTCTTAATCAGAAACTTACAAGAAAATTAACACACTAAACAAACACATTATGTTCCAGAATTGAAAGTTTTTACTCCTTTCTATTTGTATAATCTAAAAAAATGAAATCACACAGAATAATTAGCCAGCATCATTTCCAAGTTTCATAAGCAAAATCTAATATGGTTTTTGGACTAATGGTAAATCTTAACTGGTAAATCTTTATGAGAGCTTTGTATTATTTTTTTTAAAAGAATACTTTAATCTTAAAAGATGATAATAATACCTCACTAAATTTGCTAATTCTAGAATTTGTTATACTTTGGACATGAGTTTTATTAAGAAAATACATTTCTTTTTCTTTTTTTTTCAGAAACTAAGTTGAATCTCATTTAAAATTGTTTTTTTTTTTTAATGTGAGGAATTTATATACTAAAAAACTCCTCCATTTTAAAAATAATTTGTAGGTTAGATTTTTTTCCTTCACTAGATTTCTGTACATGTACAGTGATTGTTAAGAATTTGTATAGAATTGTAAATTGAATTAATTACATGCAGTCAAATAATTTTAATAAGTTCAATACGATGTATAGTGTAGTTTAAGGAATGATGAAAAAGGCACTGACTTTGCCAAGTTATGAACATTAGAAAGGGGCTGCAGTAGACAATTCTCTAGGTTTATCTTCCTAAATTGTTAACATTTTCCATGGCAACTGCTAAAGAAGCTCACTGGATTTATTCAACCCTCTCCTGGGAAGACCCAAATGAGAGCAATCCTTATACTTACAGTATAAGAACAGGTTTTATACTATTACTGTGGTTATTGTTTGATGAAGGTACTGTTACACTGTCAAACTTGAAAAGGCACACTGGCCTAGGAGGTTTAGAAATGGATGGAGCTGGTTACCTGAGCTAGGACCAAGTAGCACTGGGGACCCTGGTGGGTACTTATCACTACTATTCCTTGAGTCATTCACTCAGCAAGCATTTAAGTACCTTTCATTGGCCAGGCACTGGGTTAAAATAAAAAGACAAATAAGATAATGGTTTCCATTTTCCAAGAGCTCTCAAGGTCTAGCAGAGGAGATTTCTGATCAAGTGAGTACAAGACGAGATTCACAATGTGTAACAGGCACTTCTTGGGCCAAGGGAGGAAGTGCTCTTTCCCTAGGTAAGGGAGGGGTCAAGAAAGGCTTTCTACTAGAGGTATCAATTGAGTGAATCTTTTAAAATGAAACCAGGAAAACACAGATACTGCAGGATTAGGAAAACCCTTCAAGGCAAATGGAGTTGTGAGCTAGAGCTTTATGTAAGGGAAGTTTACATACTTCAGAAGATTCTGGAGTGGTGGTGGAGGAGGCAATGAGAGGTTGTCAAGGCCATAAGGAGGAACCTCAGAGTGTACTACAATCTGCTGTGTTTACATAGACTAATGACTGCCATTCCCAATGATAAAAATAGTGTGGCTGGCAGGCAGGCAGGTAGGTAGGTGAAATAAGGTAAGGGAGAGATGAATAAACAGAGTTATATAATTCCAAAATCCAGGATCCCCAGCAGTTGTATTCTGGTAAATCATTAAAATGGTTTTAAATAATTTCTAGCCTCAACATAAATCAGTATGATTGTACCAGGATGAGTCAAAAATGATCTGTACTCTCGTTGTAGAATTCATTTTAATCACCTTTTAGACAAGACAAAAACATAATTTTTCTACACAATCTCCTTGTTTTTTAATACACTTTGTCCATCTGTCAATAAGCTTTCGTACTCCCTTATTTAAAAATTTTTAGGCTGAGCCACGAATGCACTGCTGTCTTCACTTCTTCATCAGAGGTGAATCTTTAAAAGGCTGCTTTCAGGGGACCAAACAGGTGAAAATCCAATGGAGCCAGATCAGGACTATAGGGAGGATGCTCTAACACATCAAAATGAAGTTTTTGCAGAGTGTCAACAGAGGTGTGTAGATGTGCATTGTCATGCAGTCCCTTGCATTTAATCCAAAATTTAGGCTTCAGTTCCTCAGTGAGCATCTCACTGTAAGGAGCACTGTTGATTGTTGAACCTTTACTTGATAGTGTTCCAATACTGGCCCTTGAGAACCCCAGAAAACTGTAAGCATTAATTTTCCAGCTGATGGTTGACTTTTGAACTTTTTTTTGGCAGGAGATTGAGGATATTTCCATTTTATACTCTTCCATTTACTCTCAGGCTCATAGTGATGAATCCATGTCTTGTTACCAGTAATGATTTATTTTAAAGAAAGTTTTACCTTCAGTCCAAATTTTGTTTGCAGATGCCCAAATGCTTCTGTTTATGCTCTTCCGTGATTTTTTTTGATATCCATCTTGCACAAGCTTTGCAAAACCCAAATCTGTCATGGATTATTTCATAGGCAAAGCCATGGCTGATTTGCAAATGATTTGCCACATAATCTACTGTCACTCATCTATTCGATTTCCCGTGTATGCTCAATTCCCATGTATGCTCATTGTTGTTATCAGTCATAGATATGAACAAGCATTTTAATATAACTAGAGTGTGGATAAATTTTGACTTACCCTGTGCAGAAAAAAATCAGCCCAAGGCTGATTTCTATGAATCGGGTGTTGTACATGCTTCCACGCTACATGCTTGCACCTTATGAATCAGATGTCATACATGCTTCCACCCTTCAACCTTCTTTACCTTTTACCCTATACCCATTCCTCCCACAGCACTCTCTGCTTCACATCTGGGCTCGATAATCCATTGCAATGGCCTCACAGACTCATAACAATACTCACAATTATGGGGTTTATTAGGGAAGTGAACACAATTTATTAATTGTGCTCATGAGGAACCTGTACATGGACCAAGAGGCAGTTGTTCAAACAGAGCATGGGAACAATGAATGGTTTAAAATTAGGAAAGGTGTGCGATGGGATTGTATTATTTCACCATACTTATTTAACCTATATGCTGAGCAAATAATCTGAGAAGCTGGGTTATATGAAGAAAAACATGGCATCAGGATTGGACGAAGACTCA